TCCTTCCCACGCAAAAGCCTTTGGGTAAACAAGGCCTGTTCTTCAGACAGTGTCTTACAAGCTTTCTGAGTTTGGACAGATTAGTTAACCTATATTTCCTCATTTGCAAAATGGAAGCATTAGTCAAATTGTGAGAACTAAATATGACAGTACTATCAAGTGCCAATAACAGTACCTGTTACCAGGAGCTTCATGAATATTAGAATAATTTCAGCATAATCACAGTAATGCCATAGTCCTTAACAATATTTATATCACCCATGTTAGTATATACTATCCATCTTTAATATTGAAATTGAACTTTTGTAAAGAGACGGATGGATATACATGTGTCTCTGTACACAAGAGACAGGTATAAAACAAAATGGAAAGCTAGAAAGAAAAAGTGGGAAAAGATATACTTGGCAAAGGCTAATAGAAAAAAAATATGGCCATGATATTAGTCCTAGACAAGAATTTAAGGCAGAAAGTATCAAACAAGATGAAGGAAATTTTACATAGTAAAGAAAATAATCTGCAGAGAGTATGTATCTTTCATAAATCTTAAGATACTGATGTCATAATTAAAACACAAAGAAAAACTATAGAACTACAGGAAGAAATGCTAAGAAACAAACAGTAGTGGAATATTTCAGATCACTTCATGGGCCACGCGGTTAAAAGTTGGTAAGGATATAAAGTATTTGAGCCATGAAGTCAATAAGCTTGATGGAAGATTACTTAGCTGGCACTAAAAAATAGACAAAAACTCCCCCAAAAAAGCTGAAAAAACATCAGAAGTTAAGTCAAAAATAGCAAAACAATAGATTTAGTAATATAAATCCACGACTTTTCACTGAAAACTGCCTATAAATGAAAAATAAAGATGGGGAGCAGGTGTCTGACCTAGCAGTTAACATACAGATTAGAACATCCATGTGCTATATTGGAGTCCCCTGGTTCAATTCTCCACACTGGCTTCTGATTCCAGCTTCCTGTTAATGCAGACCCAAGGAGGCAATAGTGATGACTCAAGTAATTGGATTCCTGCCACCCACATGGAAGAACTGGATTGAGTTCTCTGCCTTAGTCCTGGCCCAGGACCAGCCACAGCCCCAACTGTTGTGGGCATTTGGAGAGTGAACCATTGGATGGAAGCACACACTGTCACACTCTCCCCAGCCCCCTCCTGTCTCTGTCTCCCTGTCCCTCTGCCTTAAAAATAAATATTTTTAATCTCAATAGATTTTTAAATGAGCATTTCAAGATAGGAAATTTTGATATGGAAAAGAAATAAGAGGAGATAGCATTAATAGAAATGAACATATTTTAAAGCATAATAATTTAAAGCAATGTGTCAAGAAAGAATCAAAAGATCAAGAAAAACAGTGAAAAATAGACTTAGTTATGTAGGAAAACTACATAAGTGATAAAAGTTTCATCTTAAGTTAGAACTTTACATAGAGGGACTATTTATAAATGGTATTGGGAAAAAGAAATAGCCAAACATAGCACTGGCTGCAGATGGTAGGTCCCATGAAGGCAGGGATAATTTTGAATTTATCAAATTTTTATATATATTATATATTATTATATATAATATATTATATATTATATTATATATGTAATATATTATATTATATAATTATGTATTATTATATATAATATAATATAATATATAAATATATAATATATTAAATATATATTATATATTTATTATATATTTATATATTATATATATTTATATATTTAAATCTCAAAAATGGAACCAAAAATTATGAGAGGGAAATGTAAGTAATTATTATACATCAAGATGTAAATTTTGAAGTGGGATGCAAGACATTCTAAACATATGTATGTTCATTAATTTGTTTGAGGTTACTTTGTCATGAAATTTAAATTATTTAAAACCATCTTGGCATATTTTTCAGTCTTTTCTATTACAGTCTGATTCATGTGCCTAGGTAAAATAAATAAATAAATAAATAAATTTCAGCATGGCAAAGAAAACCTCAAACAAAGCCCTATACAATAAATTTTTTTCTTGCTAATTTCCTTGATCTATGAGTTATTTTTGAGCTATGGGCTAAAAAAATAATTTGAGGGGCTGGCACTTTGGCCTAACAGGTAACTTGCAGTGCCAGCATCCCATGTGGGTGCTGGTTCAAGTCCTGGCTGCTCCACTTTTGATCCAGCTCTGTGCTAGTGTGCCTGGGAAGCAGCACAGGATGGTTCAAGTGCGTGGATCCCTGTTACCCATGTGGGAGATCAGGATGGAGTTCCAGACTACTGGCTTCAGCCAGGCCCAGTGCTGGTTGTTGCAGACATTTAAGGAGTAAACCAGCAGATTGAAGATCTCTCCCTCTGCCTATATCATTCTGCCTTTCAAGTATAAATAAATCATTTTAAAATCAATAAAAGTTTATTCTAATGAATAAAATTAAACCCATGGGAAGTTTTTTCAAAATACACATCTGTCAGTAACCTTGTTGAAGATTCCTGGTACACGAGGGCTTCAGAACCTCATAGAAAAAATGGGCTAGAAGATAATGTGAATTTTCCATGAAATTTATATATCCTTGTGGATATCCTTAGTTTCTATCTACTCATATCAGTTCCTAAGAGAGGAGTGAAGTCTCTCCAACTATGATGATGGATTGAACTATTTCTCTTTTCAGTTCTGTCATTTTTTGCATTATTTGGAAGCTCTGTATTAGGTGTATACATATGTTTGTTACTACATTGTTACATTGTATTAGGTGCATACATATAGTTGTTACATTGTTGTGATAAATTAAACAACTATTTTAGCATTGTGAATTCTCCCTCTTCATCTCTTGTAATATTCTGTATGCTCATAGCTGCTGTGTTTTATATTAATGTAGCCATTCTGTCTGTCTTAGGATCGGTGTTTGTATGGCAAATCCTCTTCCATGCACTTTCAGCCTATCTGTGTCTCTATTTTCAACTTTGATTTCATATACATATGTAGACATGTGCATTTGGGGCCATGATTTTTATTCAGTCTTTCAACTTCTGTCTCTAATTAGGTTGCCTAGATAATTTACATTTAATTTACTATAATTATCAATGTATTTGAATTGTTTTGTATTTGTCCCTTCTGTTCTTTGTTCCATTTTTCTGTTTTTCTACCTTCTGTCAGTTTGTGCTTTATAGTAATTCATTTTATCTGCATTGTGTATGTATATGCAATGCCTTATTGTTTTATTGAATTCTTGTTATTCTTTTTTAAAGATTTATTTACTTATTAATTTGAAAGGCAGAGTTATAGAGAGGCAGAGAGAGACAGAGAGAGAGTTCTTCCATCTGCTGGTTCACTCCCCAAATGGCCGCAATGGCTAGAGCTGAGCTGATCTGAAGCTAGGAGCCAGGAGCTTCTTCCAGGTCTCCCATGTGGTAGCAGGGGCCCAAGGATTTGGGCCATCTTCTACTGCTTTCTCAGGCCATAGCGGAGAGCTGGATTGGAAGAGGAGCAGCTGGGATTCGAACCAGCACCCGTATGGGATGCCGGCACTGCAGGCGGTGGCCTCACCCACCGTGCCACAGCGCTGGCCCCTATAGTTGCTATTCTAAAGTTTATAATATTTATCTTTAGCTCATAATAGTCTACCTTCAGATGATATTTTACTGCTTCACACATAGTGTTAAAGCTTGAAATAAAATACTTCATTTTACCACTCTCACACTTTGTGTGATTACCATCATGCATTTTACCTCTACCTAGGTTGTAAATTTATTTTGCCTTAGTAGTCAGTTTTCTATTAAGAGTCTTGTATATTTATGCATAAATTTATAATCTCCATTTCCTTGTACAGATCAGTATTTCTTAACTTCAGCACTGTTGACATTTTGAGCTGAATAGTTATTTGTTTTGCTTTGTAAGATGTTTGTCAGTACCCTTGGTTCAACTTACTAGAGTTCTACAATTCTCCCCAAGTAATGCCTACCAAAAATGTCTCCAACATTACCAAATGTTCCCTGAGAAACAAACTCTCTCCAGTTGAGAGCCACTGCTAACAACTATGTGTATTTATAATATTTTCCTTACCCCTACATTTTTTTAAAGATCTATTTGTTAGAAAGGGAGGGAGAGGGAGAGAGAATGAGAATAAGAATGAGAATGTTTAATCTGCTGGTTTACCCCTCAAATGCCCACAACAGTGGTGGATGGGCTAGGCTGAAGCCTGGAGCCTGAAACTCCATCTGAGTCTCCCGCATGGGTGGTAGGAACTAAAGTACTGGAGCCCTCATTCCCTGCCTCCTAGGTTCGTTAGCAGGGGACTGGACCAGAAACAGAGTAGCTGAAACTTGAACTGGCTCTCTGATATGGAATGTGTTCTATAGTTTGCCTTTTCTCTTAGTATATAGAACAATCAGTTTATAACTATGAGAAAAGGAAAAGCTATGCTTTATTACATGTATGCTTTCTCCATAGGTATTTCATTCAATTCCATGACCTTTAATAGTACATCTTTTCGGATGTTTGCTCCAATAGTCTTCTTTCCATCCTTTTAGATAGTGGCTAGACACTTCAGTTTACCATGTCCAAGGCAGAACTCTGGATTTACCAATCGCCTCCTCCCCACCCAATCTCCATTTCAGTAAGTGGCACCACCATTCAACCTGATACTCATGCCAGACTCCTGGGAGTCAAGGAGTTTTTCTCACTCAGCTTCCTGCTCCACAAATTCAGTAGGAGCAAGAGAGTCAGAGAACTGGGAGGTTAGTAGAATGTGGTCTAGTGCAGGTCACTGAACCCACAACTGCCACGAAAACTGCCACCTTGTTTTTAACTGGCAATGGATTAGAAACTGTATCCAGCTCTTTGTACACATTTTCTTAGTTTATCCTCCCAAACTCTGTAAGACAAGTGTTATTTCTCTGTCTTAAACAGACTAACAATGGTTTGCCTTACTCTTTTTCCACTTTAAAGTGGTGTGGAAGTGATATGTATTCAGTAGAAACCGTAGTTTGAATTTTGCATCTTGATCTTTTCCCAGATTGGCACTACATGGTGCACTACTGTCTCACGAGGTTGGGCAGCAGCAGGAAGTGCAGCTCCTGTCAGCCCCACGGTCACAAGCAGATTCAGCCCATACTCCACAGTGTGCTGGGCTTCTGGCATTTTGAGAATACAGGTATTCAATAAATTACATGAGATACTCAACAATTTAATATAAAATAGGCTTTGTGTTGGATGTTTTTGTTTGATTGTAGGCTCAGTGTTCTGAACGCCTGTAAAACAGGTGAGGTTAAGCTATGATGTTCAGTAAGTTGGGTTTGTTAAATGCACTCATGGTATTGTCAGTTTTTGGTGGGTTTATCAGGACGCAATGCCATCATATATTGAGCAGCTATATTTGCATTTAATATTTCTATTATGATGTATCTATGATACTACAGTGAAAAATGAGCTCTATGTGTGTGTATTTATATAAAAATCCTCTTGTTCTTCTCTACTTTTGTTGCAGTCTGTTGGACCTGCCAGTAGATAGTTGCCAGGTAGAATAGCTATCCTGAGAACACCAGTTTGGTTCCAAGGTAGGTGAAAATGGGAACATATTGGGCACTTCCTGTGAATGTGCAGATGTGCAGAATTCATTCTTCCTGCATTATGTAAAAGTTGTCCTTCTTCCTCACTTATGTAAACATATTAGCTGACTTTATGCCTAGGTATGTGAACTAGGATGTGGTTCAGTGAATGAAAATATTCCATGAGGATCATTCTTTAGTCATCAAAATTACAAGAGTTTTAAAAATTAGTTTCATCAGGTTCTGTGCTAAGTATACTGACCAAAACAGAAAGACAGACAGACGTGATGCCCCTAATGACCTCACATTGCAGCGAGGGAGACGGACTTGTAAACAGATATGTTAAAGTAGAAAGTGGTAAGAGCTCTTCTGAAGGTTGAGCGAGGAGCTGTCACGCAGAAGGCACAGAGGACTCTGCGGGAGGGAGTCAAGGAGGTTTAACAGAATTGATGACATTTGAGCTAGATCTTGAAGGATGGGCAGGAGCTTGCCAAGTGAATGAGGTGATCTCTATATAAAGTGCCTAATACAGGGCCAGGCCTTGGTAAGACCCAATAAATGTTAACATCTAGTTCCATTCAAGGAAGTGCTCCAGGCCAAGGACATGGGTCATTCAATTCAAGGAACACTTATTGAGTACCTTGTGTATGTCAGGCGTGGTTCCAGGTTCTTCAGCCCTACGTGCCAGGTGAAGATGGATATTATACAAGGGTCTGGTGTGAGCCACGTCCAGATCTCCTATTTATAGACTTTGTTCTCAAGATGAAGTAGGAGTGTTTGTTTTAACACTGCTGACACATTCCATCCTGATAGCAAACCCTTACTACCACAGCATTGACAACACAAGGTGATGGACTGTTCTAGACTGTTTCATAAAGGCAGTGCTAACAGTCTGGCTTGGCTTCACCTTGTGTTCTGGGTCACTTTGCTCTGCACTTGGGGTCAGGCCCAGGTAACAACTCCTCCTCAGCCTGGCTGGGAGAGTCCAGATGGCTGCTTTCTATTTCGGCTCACTGACCCCATCAGGTCCGTGTCCCCTCTCTTGAATAAGCCTCTTCGGCAGACTCAGCCGCCAAATCGTCAGGCTTTGGTCTATGCAATAGAAAGGAATAGTGTAGCATCTGTACTAGTTATATACATTTATTGTACTAAACACAGCAGTATATCAAACTTAACCCACACATTTCCACAGCTAAAATAGAACATTTCTAAATGTAAGGAATATTCTATGATTGTTTTCAACTGCAGTTTTGCTAGCATAGCTGAGTTGCATACACTAGTAGGAATGTACTAGGTGTTTTTTACAAGCATTGATTTTTAAAGTCCTCACAGCAATTTTCTAAGACAGGAATTACTTGAACCACTGGGGCCACTGTTCTGCTGGTAGAGCTGGTTAAGCTGCCACCTGTGACATAGGCATGGCGTATGGGCTCTGTTCCAAGTCCCGGCCTCTCCACTTCCAATACAGCTACCTGCTAATATGCCTGGGAAGGTAGCAAAAGACAGCTCAAGTACTTGTGCCTCTGGCATATACATAGGAGATCCAGATGGAGATACAGACTCCTGGCTTTGGCCTACGTAGCTCCAGCCATTGTGGCCATTTAGGGAGTGAACCAGTAGATGGAAGATCTCTCTTTCTCTCCTTCTAGCTCTATAACTCTGCTTTTCAAATAAATAAGTAAATCTTTTTAAAAATGTTAAAATTAGGAAACTGAAGCACAGAACATGTAATTTACCAAACACTGAAAAGGTACCACAGGGATTTGAAACCAGGTCTATCCAACTTCAAGTCCATTTTCTTTCCACAATAGCAGTCTCCAAGTATTAATGCTACCACTTACTGTTGCTGTCATATGCCAGACAAAATGTGAGCTGCTCCAATGAATGCATTTGTAATACTCATACATTTTCCTTAGCATATTTTTAAATGTTTTAATTGACAAGTAAAAATTATATGTATTTATGATCCACAATATGATGTTTTGCCACATGTATCTTTGTGGAATGGCTGATTTAGGCTATTCAGCATATACGTTATCTCCCATACTTTTGTACGTGTTGATAAGAACACTTATTTCTTTCCTCTTAAAGCAGCTGAGTACCTGGCTCTGAGCCACACAGCCAGTTAGTTGTGGATCCTGACCTCAAGCCTAGGCCTACGTGTCCAATGCTGTTTTCTTTCTATCATACTTCACCAGTGGTTTTCAACCCTGCGAGTAAGTGAGAATCAAATGGGGAACTTTAAACAAAAGCCTGCCCTCAGACAATCTGATTTAATTGATCTGATTTAATTGGCCAGCCAATTTCAAAGATCATGGCTCTCAAAAATTAAAATGGGCAGGAAATATAGTTTCATTTACTGTGATAAATTGGTGGAAAACGCTTCTTGCAGACTGTTTTTAAAGTGACTGTATTTTCCTTGACAGTACTAGAGAAATAGAAGAAAGAACAGACCTAACTTTGAACCTTGGTTTTGACACTTATTGCTGAGTGGCCCTTGACACATCCCTTAGCATTCTGTAAAATATTGATTGTGAAAGAAGAAAAGGGTGTGTTTGAAAAAAGGAACATTTGTTCTCAGAACAAATGGAATGAAGATTGTCCCCAGTGGCCTCCGATTAAGGGGTCAGTATGCATACACTGCATTAAAGCGGCTCTGAAAAACTCGTTTCATCGTCCTAGTCAGCCGACTGTAAAACCCATCTTCTGCTTCCCAGTCCCGCTGCCAGCATTCCCAGGAAACCAGGAGCCCTTCTTTTTTCTTTTCTTGTTTTCTGTAATTTTAGAATTATTTTTATTTTACAAACATTTTAAACATGTATAAAATTGTGCATATTTATGGGATACCATGTGATGTTTCTTTTTTGCATATTTGTTTATTTTTTTGGAAGGCAGAGTCACAGAGAGGGAGAAACAGAGAGAAATCTTCCATCCTCTGGTTCCCTCCACAAATGGCTGCAATGGCTGGGGCTGGCCAGGCACATCCAGGAGCCTGGAATTTCCTCTGGGTCTCCCAGGTGGGTGGCACAAGCACGTGGTCCATCTTCCACTGCTTTCCCTGGCACATTAGTAGGAAGCTGCATTGGGAGGAGAGCAGCCGGGACTCACGTTAGCATGCCAGTATCCTGGGCAGCCTCAACCAGCTACACCAGCAGCCCTTCTGCGATGTTTCTTTACAGGTGTACATTGTGTAATGTCCAGCTGAGCAGGCCCTGACAATGACTACTCAAGAGTGGTTCCTTTTTCACCAGACCACGTGGCACTGCTGGGAAGTGACCAGGAGAGAGGAATGATGACCATACATCAAGGAAGGATGTATATGCTTGAGTGGGAAGAAAAGGGGGGGGGTGTCTTTAATGTCTCATAATATACTTAAGATATACTGTATCATAGAAATGATGTCTGGATGGTAATTGAGTTTCCTGGTTATTCAATTAAATCCTAATCATAATTTTGCCAGAAATTTACTATCTTTGGTAATAGCAAAAGATAGCAGTGTATTTTAGTAACCTTTTAAGTCAAATAGGCTTTGAGGAATTAGTTTGGAAACTTATCCATTATTTATAGCATAGTTTCTATGAGAAATATGGGGTCAGTACTCGGGACTCCAAGAAATAGTTTATTTCACATTTAGCACCTTAACAAAGAGAGTGCCCACCGGTCATGTAGTGGAGAGGGAACAAGGCAGCTCACACAATCCAGTTCACTCCCTGGCATTTGGCAGAGCTCTTTTAGCTACTAACTGTAAGATCACAATGCACTTTCCTTCATTTGTGTTCCCTTTCCTTCCACGCAGCTGACCACTTGTATGAGCCCATCGTGGGCACAACCATACACACAGGTTAGACAGGAAATCCATAATGACCTCACTGCCAGGGAGAACCAGGATGCTGGTTGTCTGTACCAGGCCCTGACAAAACATCCCTTACGTTATTACCGCCTGTTGCCTCTCAGCAGGTGCCGTTCAATGGCTGGGCTCTAGGAGACTAAGTGGCTGTTGCAGTGCAGTGTTACGGTGCTCCTTATGAGGCGTGCGGGGGTAGTTCTGATCACACTGGGAAGCTTACAGAAAGAAAATGGCAGACTTAGGGAATTGCATGCTTAGCTCAAGGCACTGTCAGAGAATCAGGAAGCTTCCTTGATTACCTAAAAGAAGATCTTATGTGTTCTACAAGTGGGGCTGAAGTCTCCAAAGCCATAAACCTCAGGTTGCTTCTGCAGTTTTCTGCAATATGATGCAACTGTGCTAGGTATCAGTTAGGAGAGTGGAACTCTGAGATTGGAAATAGGTAGGTTTTAATGAATCTGACTAGCTTCAATCTCCACATCCTACTTCTCGGTAGTTGTTGAGAAGTAATCTTCCTGCCCTGTCTGGTAATCTGTCTCTCTTCGCCTGATGACCTGTAATAATTTCACCCCTGGCAGTTGACTTGTGGGAGGCTGGTGAATCCTGTCAGAGTTCATTCCCCATTATCCAGTGCTTCCAAACTGGTGCCTATTCCATAATGAAACTGAAATCCTGGAAGATCTCAATGAAGAAGAGGAAGGGAGAAAAGTTGGAAAGTAAAAATGATTACAGTCCAAATTTATATGCAGTTATGAGGCCTTAGTTTGTATTTGCAACTTCTTCTTCCACTCCCTTTCCAATTTCTTTTGCCCTCAACTAATACTTCAGCTAGTTGTGATTCTTTATCAATTAGGGTGACTTAAACCTTCATTCCTAAAAATACCTGAACTGTTAGTGCTTCTTGCTTGGCTTAGTTTGCTTTAATATTCTGGTAACTTTTACTGTAGATATGAGAGTAAGAAGCCCTTGACTTCCAGACCCACTCCCCCCTCCCTCCACTCTGAAATACTAGCCCTTTTCTCACTCTATAATTGGGATTAATTGCCCTGGCCAATGCAGTCATCCCCCTCTTTCCTTATGGGTTTAGCGCATGAGAAGCCCTAGGTGGCTGGTGTGACAGTCTCAGCTTCCATTCAGTGGAACTGTTCTGGTGTTTCCTGGAAGAAGTATTTGCTGTCAGAAACTCACAGCACAGTACTGTAGGGATGGGACAAAAGTTTTGTGAGTAGGCATTAAGAAAAAATATGGGGCCGGCACTGTGGCATAGCAGGTAAAGCCACCACCTACAGTGCAGTGTCCCATATGGGCGCTGTTTTGTCCTGGCTGCTCCACTTCCCATCCATCTCCCTGCTACTGTGCCTGAGAAAGCAGCAGAGGATGGCTCAAGTCCTTGGGCCCCTGCACCCACATGGGAGGCCCGGAAGAAGCTCCTGGCTCCTGGCTTTGGATCAGCCCAGCTCTGGCTGTTGCGGCTATTTGGGGAGTGAACAATGGATGAAAGATCTCTGTCTTTCTTTCTCTGTAACTTTGTCTTTCAAATAAATAAATAAAGCTTTAAAAAATATATGAAGGAGCCCCTACAACATCTACATTTTGGTTCTTAAATCTAAGTAGTCTGGCTATGGAAAAAATAACATTATGTATTGGTTGTTCACTCAGAGAATATACTGTAGCTTGTGGGACAGCTCCCCAGTATCACAAGTGCCAACATAAATAAGCCATCGATAGATCATTACACCCTGTATCAAGCCAGCTTCTTCCTATAAGCTTGAAAGCATTTCTCCAATTCTGATTCTTTAAATGAATTTCAGAAGTAGTATCTCATGAAGTTTTAAGAAAGTGAATCCCTAAGTCCATGGAAAGAAGTGCTAGAAGAAACATTTTGGGGAGAGCAGGCAAGTGCATATTCATATCATCGTTTCTTCTGTGATAACAGAGATCCAGTATAGTCCATCTGCCATCCGCTGGGTAGCAGGGCTTGGGAATAGCACCCTTTTAGTAGCTCAGTGTTGGGTACTTGCTGGTGATAGTACCCACACCAGCTTCAGTGAAGAGAATCCTGTAATTTTTTTTAGAGATTTATTTATTTGTGAGGCAGAGTTACAGGCAGAGGGTGAGGCAAAGAGAGAAGTTTTCCATCAGCTGGTCCACATCCCAAATGGCTGCAATGGCTGGAGCTAGGATGATCTTAAGCCACGAGCCAGGAGCCTCCTCCAGGTCTCCCATATGGGTGCAGGAACCCAAGGACTTGGGCCATCCTCTGTTGCTTTCCCAGGCACATTAGCAGGGGGCTGGTTCAGAAGTGGAGCAACCAGGACTGGAACCAGCTCCCACATATGATGCCAGCACTAGAAGTGGCAGCTCAACCTGCTACACCACAGCACTGCTCCCAAGAATCCTGTATTCTTAATCCCACAAATAATCAACACTCTTGGTTCTAGTACAACTATGTTCAGTAGCCCATTGACAAGCATCAGGATGGCTAGGAAACTGGCCCCCATAGGATTGGCCATATGCTTACCTGATTATTGAAAGTCTCTTTTTTACAGCCAATGCCTTTTAGTAAGTATCCATTTAGGACACAAATACCCTCAATGACCATTCTGAGAGGCCTGTCCTAAAACTTTTCCTCAGATAGCACTTGAACCAATTTCATAACCTTACTTTTCAAGTCTCTGATTCCTTTGCCAGCTAGCTCCTTGCCCATGAATCAATGTAGATCTCTACTTCTGAAGCACACTGTCTGTCTCTTCCCCTCTCTCTGCCAGGCAAAGTAGGAAGGGGTGTGTGTGTGTGTGTGTGTGTGTGTGTGAAGCCTTCCACCCTAAGGTCTTGCCACAGCTTTCAAAGACAGCCTCAGAGTGGGTCATGAAACCAGTAAGCCTCTGTACGCTTCCCAGTGTGTGTGGGACACACGTCTATCTTGTTCCCTTCACTCAAAGCCCCCCTTTGCCCTTTCTTCTCCAGGGTGGAAGGTTTTAAACCTCATACAGATTAAGCTTTCCCCGTGCAAAAGAATTGCAGAAGCACAGAGATTTCAGCTGCCTGCTTGAATAGTGGGGGAGGAGGAGATTGCCGAGCTGCCCCCAGAAACGCTGTGAGGTACCTGTGGCCAATGTGGCGTGTTTTCAAGATGAGAGAACTGAAATGTGGAAGGAACGAAGTGGCTTTATTGAAGCTTCCAGAACTACTGAAGATCTGAGACGAGACTAGGATTCTGCCTTCCAGGACAGTGACAGGAGAATGATGACACAAACCTCATGGTCGTGGTATCTCTGGGAATCTGGTTTGCGCGGTGGATATAGAGAACTGGCGGTTGACTGAAGGGAGATGAAGACGTGAAGAGCACTCAGGAAGGGGCGAGCCGGGGCACTCAGTTGAAGGTGAGAATCAGAGTCAGGCTTTCCAGAAAATCCCAGTACAAGACTTGTGTGTGTGTGTGTGTGTGTGTGTGTGTGTATGTTTTGTAATACCTAATCAACAGCATTTGGAGGTGGAAAATGGGAAAGGGCTTGAGTATGCTACTTAAGAAATATTTCAGAAAATTAAAATGGCAGAGGTGGGGAATGTTAGTAACCAGGTGAAGGACAGAACAACTGATTCCAAAAACATATTTGAGTCTGATACAGGGTGTATAAACTCATAAAAGCTAAGAAGGAAAACATGAAGGCTGTTTGAATATCAATAAGTTATCCCTTTTAAGCAAAATTGAGTTTTTGTTAACCAGATAAAATAGCTTTAAAATCAGTGTAAGTTCCCGAGCCTTTACCTGATCTAATTTTGTATGTTATAAATACTTTTATTTTACAACTCCATATGTATAAACAGGTCCAAGAATTGAGAAGCCTTTACATTGTAATAATCCCACCTTTGTGAACTAAAGCAAGTCAAAGGCCAGTTTCATCAACTATGAAATAAAGAGATAATGCCAAATGTCTTCTAAGCTCTACCCCAACTTTCAAGCTCAATTATTCTATGAAAATTTTACTTAATGCTTTCTCAAGCCCTGGTTGAAGTTGGTAAATTGAAACAAATACAAAGAAAAGCCCCAGCAGGGGTCACTATAGTCACATTGAGCCCCACGTCTGATTCTTTCCTGTGTGCTTTAGTTGACTGTGTGAACGTCACACTCCCCCTTTTGTTGTCTTGATTTTCTGATTTAGCTGCATAAAATCTCCCGCCCTTTAGCCTCATCTGAACTGACCTTCAGATGTCCTCAGAAAACCCCTCCCAGCTGTTCTTGCCCTGGTTCTTCTCCTTTATTTTTTTAACCTTGTAACTGGGGATCATTTGCCTCCATTGACTCTGGGGCCCTCGAGGTGAATTAATTTTATTTAATTAGCTCTCTCAGTTTCTCAACTCTGAGAACTGTGGTGAGCATATTTCTTTAAATTTGTGAGAATACATTAAAACAAAACACAGAACTCAACCCTGTCCTGAAGAGATCTTTTTTAATTCTATGAACATCTAAAATATGTATTCAGCTCCTTAAGAACCCACACCTGAGAATCCTGGAATTGGATTAACTGCTATTCTCTCCACAGTTAATTTGCTATGCACATGAAGCCAGAAATGGACTAGTTCCTTTGTCCAGGAGCCATATAAGGATTTCAGTGCCAATTCTAATTTTAATAGTATATGTTTTTGCCCTAGAAACATAGAATCTGTACAAGTAGCAGAGTTAGGGATCAGTGTGCCTTTGATGCCGAAGGTAGACATCCATCAAGGTTAGCATTATTCCAAGAAAACTATAGACTCTCCACAGTCCTAAGTTTTAAGACTAAGTCTTTAATCTTCAGCCACAAGTCTTAAAAAATCTTTAGAACTATGATTCAATTTAGGATTAATTTGAAGAGGTTCAGTCTGCCCTTCCCCAATTCCACATGGTATGTAAAACTGAACAACCATTCCATTGTGATAGAAATCAAAGTAAGTTAACTCCTTATTCCCTGAAGAGCAGATTCTGGTCCTTTGGCCTGAGTAGTTCTCAGTAGGAGGAAGGTGAGCAATTTTAATCTCATTCTCGCTTTTTCTCTTACACATACCTCCCTGCCTATCCAGGACACATGTTGTCGCCCTCTCTCAATGGCAACTATAGATAATGTTCCCACCATTTCCAGTACTATGATGTTGAAGTCCTAGTCTAGGCAGGTTATTGGGTTCTTTCCAATTGTTAAAAAGGAAGGCCTTCTATATTCTCCTTCCACTGTGAATCAGAGACGGCCTAGCAACAAATTTGGAGAAAGTGGTGATATATGACTTCTAGACTAGGTAGTAAAAGGTATTGCACCTCTGCCTTGCTCTCTTGGATTGCCTATTGGCAGGAATGCCAGCTGCCCTATCTCACGCAGCACAGTGGAGAAGATCGAGGCTTCCTGTCAATGGGCAGTACCAACTTGCCAAGCACATCAGTGAGCCACCTTGCGAGCAGAGTCTTCCCCAGTGGATTCAGGCCCCTCTCCTCTCAGAGTTCTGCAGAGCAGCCTTCTCTTCTCTACTTACGTGTGCAACCTCCGTCCTGACTTTACATGAGCATACTTACTCACTGCCAGGCTACCTGGTCAAGTGTCTCCGAGTTCTGTGCTGGGTCCCGTGTACTCCTTGTCCCCTCTGTGACTGGGGGAGGAGGTGCATGGTACAGACAATGCTGTGTCGCAAGGTAGAAGGTAGTTCGTAAAGTGTGTGAGCTGAACAGATCCTGCTAAGGGTTTCTGCAGTGTCTCATCCTACTTTCCCCCATCCACTAGTACTTTTATCATAGGATAGGGCACAGGATAATCTAATTGCTTGTTCATTTTATTTTATTTTTTTTGCAAATCCACTCTATTCTATAGTCTCCTGAAGGGCAGGAATTCTGACTCTTGACAGATGCATCCCTAATATCTGGTTCAATAGCTGGCACATAGTAGGTAGGTTTAAAAAAAAGTAACAAATAGAAGCCATAATTACTTTAGTGATTAAAAAACAGTCTTACTGATCATGTAAATTATGTCTCTTAAATTTCTAGAGACCAGCCGGCGCCGCGGCTCACTAGGCTAATCCTCCGCCTAGCGGCGCCGGCACACCAGGTTCTAGTCCCGGTCGGGGCGCCGGATTCTGTCCCGGTTGCCCCTCTTCCAGGCCAGCTCTCTGCTGTGGCCAGGGAAGGCAGTGGAGGATGGCCCAGGTGCTTGGGCCCTGCATCCCATGGGAGACCAGGAAAAGCACCTGGCTCCTGGCTCCTGCCATCGGATCAGCGCGGTGCGCCGGCTGCAGCGCGCTGGCCGCGGCGGCCATTGGAGGGTGAACCAACGGCAAAGGAAGACCTTTCTCTCTGTCTCTCTCTCTCACTGTCCACTCTGCCTGTCAAAAAAAAAAAAAAATTTCTAGAGACCAAACTTTAAATGTAGAGTTTGTACCAGAATATGAGGGTGCTTCAAAATGTTTGTGGATAATGGAATTAAAAGCTAAATTTATTCTGGGAAAAAAATTGAAATGTATAGATTTTTCACAATTCACATTTTTCATAAACATTTTGAAAGCCCCATGTATACCTACAGTTTCTTTCTTCTGTTTTTTCCAAGATTATTTATTTATTTTTATTTATTTGTAAAGCTGAGAGACAGAGAGAGAAAGAGAAATCTTCTATCTGCTGGTTCACTCCCCAGTGCCTACAATATCCAGGGCTGGACCCGACCAGGGCCAGGAGCCAGGAACTCCATCTGGTTCTCCCATGCAGGTACTTAAGCCATCACTTCTTCCCCCCAGGATTCACATTAGCAAGAAGCTAGATCCAAAGCACAATTGGCAGGACTCAGACCAATTACTCTGATATGGGCTGCCGGAATCCCAAGTGGCGACAATCTCTGCACTAAGTGCTTGCCCCTTTATGATCTCTTTCCACTGTGAAATTTTATGATTCTAATTACAAGCATGCAAAATATAAATAATCTTAAAAGTCTGGATTTCTGAAATCATTTTTAATACTTAAAAGATGTGGTAACAAAATAATATATGTTCATCACAAAAAAGTTACACAATGTGGAAAACACAAAGATAAAGCTAAAAATCAAATCACTCATAATCCCTTTATTCAGGAATAATTTCTCTTCACATTTGGGTTTATCATTAAATAAACTAAAATTGACTGATTACTGTATTTTTCCCTGTCACTGAATTTTTTTACACATTATTATTTAATGACTAAAAAATGGGTCTTCAGAAAGTTTATGGAAAAATAGAATTAAAAGACACATTTATTGTTGCCAGCTTTGTGACACAGCGGGTTAAGTTGCTGCTTGTAACAACAACATCTCATATCAGAGTACTGATTTTAGTTCTGGCTGCTCTGCTTCCAAGACAGAAAGAGATCTTCCACCTGCTGGTTCACTCCTCAAATTGCTGCAACAACCAGGTCTCAGCCAGTCAAAGCCTGCAGGCAGAAACTCCATCTAGGTCTCCCAAATGGGTGGCAGGGGCCCAAATACTAGGCCGGCATATGCTGCCTTCCTAGATACATTAGCAGGAAGCTGGGTTAGGAGCCAAGCAGCCAGGACTCGAACCGGCACTCTGATATGGGATGCTGGCATCACAAGCAGTGCTTTAACCGCACTGGCCCCAATACAGATATTTTTAGAATCTGGATCACTTTTCCAAATTATCTTTCAGAAAGAAGTACTGATTTAAAGGTCTAACAAAAATATTCAAAAGTGCCTATTCTTCCCAAACCCTTGCCAACCCAGAGTAATGACCTTTTAAGAAATGATTGTCAGGGCTGGCACTGTGGCTCAGCGGGTTAACGTCCTGGCCTGAAGTGCTGGCATCCCACATGGGCGCTGGTTCTAGTCCCAGCTGCTCCTCTTCCAATCCAGCTCTCTGCTGTGGCCTGCAAAAGCAGTAGAAGATGGCCCAAGTCCTTGGCTTTTGCAGCCATCTAGGGAGTGAACCATCGGGTGGAAGACCTCTCTCTCTCTCTGCCTCTCCTCTCTCTGTGTAACTCTTTCAATTAAATAAATAAATCTTTAAAAAAAAAAAAAATGTCCATCTGATCTGTGAAAAATGTCATCCCCTTGGTGCAGGGACAGTTTTATTGATGATCAAAGGAAACGACCAGCTCCTAAAGCCAAATGTCTAATTATAGCTTCTGAGGATAGAATTTGACCTCTATCAAGATGTTGCTAGACATATAGGATAAGGAAAGTACAGAACTACTCTGCTGTAATCTTTTCATTTTTAAGGGAATGATGGTGTCTGTATTGTAGAGGTGACACCCTTCTATACTGCACAGCTAAGAAAACCTCACACCGTAGGTGGAAAGTAAATAGTACAAGGCAATAGATGCATGTTTATAATTTTAAAAAGTCATTAAATACTAAACTAATGATGTAAGTAGCAAGAATGAAAATAAGCGTTCTTGGAATTGCTTATAGCAGAAATAAGGAAAAATAGAGATTTGTTTAAAGTTATAGAAGACTTGTATTCTTGGCTTGATAATTTTTTTAAAGATTTTATTTATTTATTTGACAGGCAGAGTTAGACAGTGAGACAGAGAGACAGAGAGAAAGGTCTTCCTTGGTTCACTCCCCAAATGGCTGCTACGGCCGAGCTATGCCAATCCGAAGCCAGGAGCCAGGTGCTTCTCCTGGTCTCCCATGCAGGTGCAGGGCCCAAGGACCTGGGCCATCCTCCACTGTCTTCCCGTGCCACAGCAGAGAGCTGGACTGGAAGAGGAGCAACCAGGACTAGAACTGCCACCCATATGGGATGCCGGCGCTGCAGGTGGAGGATTAACCTAGAGCACCACAGCACTGGCCCCCTTGATAATTTTTTAAACTACTGCCTCTAATAAGATAAAGTTTTGCTTTCATATCTTCCTTTTTTCATCCATAATTTCCCCACAGTTTTTAGATGCTTTTTACTGATATGTACTCTTTACTTTCATTTAGACCTTTGAGGACAAGGTTTGTGTACTATTAAGGGCAAGTTTTGCCCTGGATGTGTAGTTTTTAAAATATTATTAATACATTCTAGACACAGCTGTCAGTCATTTTCACTTTGTGCATTCACTGCCTTGGTAACTTGGTGGTGGGAACCTATAAAAGAAGGTGGGAAAATGGTTGGAGGCAGTCAGAGAAGAAAGCAGTCTACTCACGCATTCACCCCTAACTTGAGCCGAAAAGGCTGGGGTCTTGTGGCCACGCCCTTGGTGTAGCTCCTGAAGCAGCAGCTGTCTGATGAAGGACCAGGGCCTTGCTTTTCTGAGGCTCCCATACCTCTGCCAAGAACTTCCATCTTCCCCCAGCGACAAAACGGTGAACTCCTACATGGCTTTCACTTGACCTTGGACTCTAAAGAAAGGTTTGGTGAATGCGAATCTTACAGCTGGAAAGTAAAAGTGGGCTTAGGCAATCAGAAAGTATATATGCATCTGCAGGGATTTTTGCTGGGCCTCACTTTCAGAGAAATAATGAGATATTAACAAAGGAGAACTGTGTGCCATTTGTTCCCCTGGTGCCTTTTGTGCGCCAGAAGTTGTAGGTATTATTTCTAATCTTTCCAGCAATCCTATGAGGCTGATACTATTACTGCTGGGTTGCAAATAAGAAAACTGACCTTCTGAAAAATTAAATCATTGGCTCAAAGTCTCAGAGCTGTGAAATGTGGGGGCCCTGATTTAAACCCAGGCCTGACTACCAAATCCCTCACTCATTTCGCGCTACTTAAGTTTTATTTAAAAGGGTTATGGTGCTTGTTCTTATGTTTCTGTACATATATACAGAATTGCTTCAGTTTTAATTTTGGGCCATGTTTTGCAGCAATCAAAGGATTTATTACAGGATGTTTTCCTGCCAGCAAAGTCTATTGAACTGAATCACAAACACTGCCTTGCCTTCTGTCACTATTCATGATTTATTCATAGATCACTGGTTCCTTATTAGCATTCTATCTGAGTTATGTATTTTGAATGATCTCCTCAAGGCTTTGGGGAGGACATTAAGGGAGAGGTGAAGAGAGGCATTTTATAGATATCTTTCAGTAGGAGACAGATGACCGCTTTATCTGAATATGAGTCATTCGGATTATGCTGGTTCAAGAAAAATAGTATTCAAAGAAAGTGAGGGACAAATTGGAAGAAAAGGACCAAGATAATAATTCACTAGAGGCACTAAATATAATTGGGATAAATCCTTGAAATTCAGAAGACCTTTTGGTACTATCAGTGCGAGGGGCTGAATGTATAGCCCCCACTCAGGTTCACGTGTGAAAGTCCTGAACCCCAGCGTGATGGTGTGTGGAGGTAGGGCCATCGGGAGATGATCAGGCCATGAGGGTGACCTCAGGAATGAGATTAGTGCACAGATCAAAGAGACCCCAGAGAGCTCCTTTGTCTGCAGCCAGAAGAGAACCCTCGCCAGAATCCAGCCAAGCTTTGCACTACCCCTGCGTAATTGTCAGGAATAAATTGTCTTATGTTAGTAAGCCACCCAGTCTATGGCACTTTGTTACAGAATCTGCCTTACCAGTCTCTGTAGGTCTGTTGTCTTCACATCTATTTTTTTTGTAGCCTTTCTTTCCTTCTTTCTTTCTTTCTTTCTTCTTTCTTTCTTTCTTTCTTTCTTTCTTTCTTTCTTTCTTTCTTTCTTTCTTTCTTTCTTTCTTTCTTTCTTTCTTTCTTTCTTTTTGACAGGCAGAGTGGACAGTGAGAGAGACAGAGAGAAAGGTTCTCCTTTGTCGTTGGTTCACCCTCAAATGGCCGCCACGGCTGGCGTATTGCGGCCAGCGCACAACGCTGATCCGAAGGCAGGAGCCAGGTGCTTCTCCTGGTCTCCCATGGGGTGCAGGGCCCAAGCACTTGGGCCATCTTCCACTGCACTCCCGGGCCACAGCAGAGAGCTAGCCTGGAAGAGGGGCAACCGGGAAAGAATCCGGCGCCCCAACCGGGACTAGAACCCGGTGTGCCGGCGCCGCTAAGTGGAGGATTAGCCTAGTGAGCTGCAGCGCTGGCCTGTCTTCACATCTGATGGTGGACCTTGGTGACCCCAAAGCAGGCAGTTGTGAAAGGAAACAGGGGAGAACAAGAGGAGACAGGATCTGGGAGTGTGAGATAGAGCCCGCAGGACCCACTGAAACCCCTGTCACTTGGTGTTGTCTCTGAACTCAGTGGTGTGGGTTGCCTGCAGACCCTGGGTCTTTCCCCATGGAGCTAAACACCCATACCTGGCTCAGAAGTCGAAGAGGCTGAAGGAGAGTCTAATGGGAAGTAAAATGGTTTCAGTAGTGGCTGCTGCCTTGCACAGCTGGTGGAGAAGTGACAACACAGCTGAGCTGCAGAACAGCCCTCCACATGTCCCACGGGCCTCTCCCTGGGGCCACCCAAACCTGAAACACACAGGAGGAGAAAGTTAGTTCAGGCCAGCCAAGTTGACACATCACAGTTTCCTCCCTAAACAAAAGAGAATATTATGTTTGTAGTACTAGAATAAAAATTAATACACTCTTCCCACTGCTACTTGGGGCACCTTCTAACATAACCAGTGCTGCCCTCCTTGGGTCTCGCTGGCTCTCTCTGCACTTGTCCTGAGAGCGGGCGGGGTGCTGGGTGCTCTCTGCTGGCAGCTAATGTCCACGTTGTCACTGCTTCTGTGCTGATCTCACTCGCTCCCTCCTCCCCGACAGTGCCTCTCGTAGTCCATTTGTGCTGCTGTAATGAAAGATCTCAGATTGGGTCATTATAAATGACAGAAATGTATTTTTTTCACAACGTTGGAGCCTAAGAAGGCCACAATCAAGGCACGAGTAGGTTTGGTGTCTTCTCCTGAGGGTGGAGGGCAGAAAAGGCCCAGCTCTCCTCAAGTCCTCATGGAGGGCTCCGATCCCACCCATGAGGACCGAGCTCCCGTGGCTCCCTCTTCTCCCTGAGGAGCCACTTCTTAACACTGCTGCACTAGGGATTAAGGTTCAGCGTGAATTTTGGAAGAGACACAAACATTCAAACCATAAGCAATTCTCTTCTCAAATTTCCAGACTTTTTATTTGCTTCTTATATTAGTTTCTTATTGCCATTGTGATTTCTTAACACAGACTTAATGACTTAAAATATCACTGAATTATCTTAGCACTCTGGAGTTCAGATCTCTAAAAATGGATCTTTTTATCTTAAAATTTATTTACTTTAAAGGCATAGTGACAGAGAGAGAGGAGGAGATGCAGAGGTGAGAGCTCCATACGCTGGTTCGTTCCCCAGTGGACTGCAACAGCCGGGACTAGGCCAGGCAGAAGCCAGGAGCCTGAAACTCCATCCGGGTCTTTCACATGGGCAGCAGGACCCCTATTACTTGGGCCTTCATTTGCTGCCTCCCAGGCATTAGCAGAGGAGGAACCTGGATCAGAAGTGGGGAGTAGCTGGGACTCTCAAAGCAGGCACTCCAAGATGGGATGCAGGCGTTGTAAGCAGCTGCTTATCCCACTATACCACAACACCCAGCCCTAAAGTAGATACTGCTGGGCTAAAATCGTGGTGTCTGTAGGACTGTGTTCTTTCAGGAGGAAGGAATCTATTTCCTTGTCTTTTCCAGCCTCTAAAGTTTCCCAGCCTTCTTGGTTTGTGGTCCCCTTCCATGTTGAAAGCCAGAGCAGGCAGTCTCGTCTCTTTGTGCTGTCTGGCTCTGGCACTGGTTTTTCTGCCTCCCTCTTCCACATCCAGAGGACTTTATATTACATTGGCACCCTCTCTCAGATAATCTCTTTGTTTTAAAGTCAGCTGATAAGCAAACTTTGTTCCTCTGACATCTTATTTCCCCCATGTCAAGCAACCTAACATAGTCCTAGATTCCAGGGGTTAGAGCATGAACAGCTTGGGGAGGGATGGAGGGGGCCAGGTCATGATTCTGCCTCCCACACCTTTCTCTTCCTTTCATGGCCTATGCTATTTGTAGACTAGAAGTTAGGAGTAGTGTTTGAACCCTTTCCTTCCCACCTTGCCACAAACCTTACCTAAGGCAGTGAGTACAACCTAGCTGTCCAAATAGGGATAAACTCAGAAGAAGATGAAGATATCCTAGAACAAAAATCAGTTGATTTTGCCACCCTCTAACATCTTGTGTTTTTAAGCATGAATTGCTTGGTCATTCTTATCTTGCACAAAACCAGAATGGGCAGTAGTCCTGGTTCCCACAAGATCAGATGGGATGGCTGGAATTTCTTTTGCTTCCAAATGCATTTTACTGGGCACTTGTTTCTCCATCCAGGACAAAATCTGGCTCTTTAAGACTCACCATTCAATTCTCTTCAACCTCATTGCTGTCATCCACAGCAACTTAGAAGTGACCTTCCCCTTCAGTAAAGGCTGTGGCACATCAGTATTTTCCTTCCTACCATGGTCCTGGCAGTGCCAGAGATGATGCTCTGTAGTCACTTTGTTTTATTCATTCATTTATTCTAATATTTTATTTATTTATTGAGATGGGGGGGGTCTTCCATCACTGGTTCACTCCCCACATGGCTGCAATGGCCAGAGCTGAGCCCATCTGATACGAAGCTAGAAGCCAGGAGCTTCCTCCGGGTATCCCATGCAGGGGTCCAAGGACTTAGGCCATCTTCCACTGCTTTCCCAGGCCATAGCAGAGAGCTGGATTGGAAGAGGAGCAGCCGGGACACAAACTGGCCCCTATATGGGATGCCGGCACCTCAGGCAGAGGATTAACCTACTGTGCCACTGCGCTGGCTCCAGTCACTTCATTTTCAATCATCTCCTTCTGTATCCATCTCAACCACTAGGGACTGAGTATTCATTGAGTATCCATGTGCTCCTTCAAATTTCCCAGCCCCGTGTGGCTTAAACTATTGCCTGCAGCACCGGCATCCCGTATGGTTGCTGGTTCAAGTCTCAGCTGCCTCACTTCCTATCCAGTTCCCTTCTAATGTGCCTGAGAAAGCAGCAGAAGGTGGCCCAAGTCCTTGGGCCCCTGTACCCATGTGAGAGACCCAGATGAAGTTCTTGGCTCTTGGCTTCAGCCTAGCTCAGCTCTGGCAATGCTGCCATCTGGGGGTGAACCAGCAGATAGAAGATCTCTCTCTCTCTCCCTCTCTCATTCTCATTCTCACTCTCACTCTCACTTTGCCTTTCAAATAAATACATAAATCTTTAAAAAAAATCCACAATACCATAGCAGGTAGATGGGGCCCTAGGCCTAATTCTGGACAAAGGAGCATCTACACACCCCACATAACTTACTTCCCAGGCTCGTCATTTTGGTTTGCTCATTTGGATCTCCTGCTATTTATCTTGCAGTTTTCAGCCCATTGGCTGTTTTCTCTCACTGTTTCCCACTGCATTTTAGTTACCCCTCTTATCCAGGTTAGAGTCCACAAACTATGATCTTAGCCACTTTGCTGTCAGTATTCCAACTTACCTGGTCTCTGTTCTTCTATGGACTATACCTGGAAAAGCCTAGACTGGATGAACTCAGCCACCTGTCTTGATGAATGAATACATTTTGTTCATCTCCATGTTTGCACCCAAGCTGAATCACACCAGTAGGGAAAAATCGTGTGATCTAGCATATTTCTAAGCTGTTATCATTATCAGCAATACCTGTTGTGCTTTTATCCTTAGTTCAATCTTAAGCTCTCCATCTCCTCAAGCCTCTGTCCTACCTACCCTGCTACATGGGGCAGATGAGGTCCCCTTCTACCTTAGAGAGAAAATAACATGCTGCCTTGGCAGCTCATGACAAGAGCCTCGGGTGATAACTGACGTCATAAACAAGAGTGTCATTTGTTAAGTCAACACCAAGAGTCACTGTGCACTTGCTCCCCATATGGGACCTCTGTCCTTAATGTGTTGTACTATGAGAATTAACAGTAAAACTAGTCTTCAGATAGTACTTTATCCTTTGTGTGTCTGTGTGGGTGCAAACTGTTGAAATCTTTACTTAGTATAGAGTTGATCTTCTATATATAAAGATAATTAAAAATGAATCTTAATGAAGAATGGGATGGGAAAGGGAGTAAGAGGTAGGACAGGAGTGGGAATGGGAGGGCGGGTTTGGGGGGGAAGAACCACTATAATCCAAATGTTGTAGTTATGAAATTTATATTTATTAAATAAAAGCTTTCTATTAAAAAAAAAGAAAATAGCATGCATGCTGTTAGAGAAGCTCTGCAGCCCTTCAGAAACCACCTCTGTGGACCTGTCTGCGCCTGTACACGTCTTTTTTGCTTCCTTCTTGTTGTGGTGCTGTCCTCCCTGCCAAAGTCTGCCTTTCTACCTGTGTCCTCAAGCCCCAACTTCCCCCAACTTCTCAGAAACTTCTTGCTGTCAATGTTCCTTCCCGAGTACATCAGCTTCAGTCTTTGTCTTTGATGTCTCTCTCATCAGCAGGTAAATGTTCTCAAGTTCATCCCCGCTGCAGGGGACAAAAAGTCTTCCTTAGGTGACGCCTCCCTCCAGCTCTCAGTCTCCTGCTCTTCTCTCAGCTGCTCTCTTCCTCTGTGTGACCATTAGAAAAGGGTGGGTCACAAACACCTGACATTCCCACGCCACCTCATTTTTCAAGAAATCGGGTCGACTTTTAAAAATTCAGTTTTCTTTTCATTTCCAGCTCAGACTTATGCTCTGAGTTCCCCCCAAGAAAGCATACTGCTTTCTTGATTTCTCCGTTTGACTATCTCACTGGTCCATTAAAGTCAATGTACTCCCAAACTGAACTTGAGATATTTTCCATCAATTTTTCTCCTTCTCCTGGTGCTCTCCTTCCTGTTGAATGGTGTTAACAACCACTCAGATGTTTAAACCAACTACCTGGGCATAGGCCGTGATTCATCTCTATCCTTTCCTCAATTCAACCGTATACCAGGATTATTAATTACCCACACATCTGTAAATGCATTCGCTTTTATCTATTCTGTTATTATATTGGTTCAGACCACCAATATCAATCGCTGGAATCCTGCATGCTTCTCCCCACATCTACCCTTTTTTTGGATCCAGTATGTTCTCTACTCTGCATTAAACAAATGCAAACTTATCTTAAAATCTTTCAATACCTGCCCATTTTCTCTGAAGAAAAATCTCGATTTTTAACTTGACTTGCATGGCTCTGATTCATTGTTCAGTCTTATCCCATGCCCTTCCCTCAATTTTAACACTTCAGTCCTATCGTATTTAAAACATCATAGGTACATTTTTTTGATGAATGAATACATTTTGAAAAGTTTCTCAGATTTACCATTACATGAGCTGATTGGGAGAATCCTCCACTCTTCTGCTCTAAATGCAAAGTGAAATATGGCTAAAGTTTCTTGAAGTATGTAGCCAAGCTTGAAGTCAGTGAGTATCCCCCAAGTACCAGAATTCAAGAGAGAACTTCAAGTCAAAGTGCTAAGCAGAATCTTATGCCCAAATGGCTTATAGAATTGTTGCAACCAGAAATAAGCCTTAAAACCTGGGATTAGGAGGCCAGCATGGTGGCACCACAGGTTAAGCCACCACTTGGAATGTCAGCATCCCATATCAGAGCTGCTGCACTTGCAATCCAATTTACTGCCAGTGTGCCTGGGAAAGCAGCAGATAGTGGCAGTGCTTGAACCCCTGCCATCCATGTGGGAGACCTGGATGGAGTTCCTGGCTCCTGGCTTTGGCCTGGTCCAACCCTGGCTGTTGTGGGCATTTGGGAAGTGAATCAGCAGATGGGTGATCTCTCTCTCTTTCTCTCTTTCTCTCTCTCTCCCTCTCCCTCCTTCCCTCCCTCCTCCTCCCTGCCTCCTTCTCTCTCTCTCTGTCACTGTGCCTTCCAAATAAATAAATCTAACAAAGAAAAACAAGGATCGGTTCTAATAATCTTCCTCTATGCCTTCAGGAACTCCTAGAACCCGAATGTTGGGTTTTTTAATAGTATCCTGTAGATTCTCCACAATATTTTTTAGATTTCTAATTTCCTCTTCTTTTCTTTGGCTTGACTGTATCCTTTCCTGTTCTCTCTCTTCGAAGTCCGATATTCTCTCTTCTGCTTCACCCATTCTGTTTTTAAGGCTCTCTAATGTGTTTTTCATTTGATCTATTGAATTCTTCATTTCATTATGATTTCTCATCACTATCACAGTTTCATGTTCTACTAGTTGTTTCATTTCATTTTGATTCCTCCTTAATATTTCATTTCGCGAGAAAGATTTTCTGTCTTGTCCATTAAGGATTTCTGTAGTTCAAGAATTTGTTTTTGAGAACTTCTTAATGTTCTTATCAATTTTTTGAGATCTGCTTCTTGCATTTCTTCTATCTCATCATCTTCATAATCTTGAATTGGGGTGTCTTTCATTTGGGGGCATCATAGTGTCTTCCTTGTTCTTATTACCTCAGTTTTTGCATTTGTTGTTTGGCATATTGGAGATATTCTTTGGTTTCTTCACTGTGATGTTTTTTCTTGTTATACTATGACTCTAGATTAAGTGGACTGTCTGTTTTTGATGGAGCCTTAGAGGCTTGAGATGGGTGTGGCCTGAGAGCTCTGTTTGGTTTCTCAGGGTTAAGGGTGTGCCAGAGGTGACACTCCCAGGTTAGGCGTGGTAAATCTCTCTCTCTCTCTCTCTCTCTCTCTTTTTTTTTTTTTTTTGATTCAAAAGGGAAGTAATTCCACACAGCTGAACGGAATTGGAGGTAGTTAGCAGGCAAATGATAAATGATATACCCACAGGAGCCAGAGATCGGAAGCTCTTTCCCAAGGACCACACAGGGAATCTGTCCTGCCCTCAGTGTGGGCTCAAATTCTGCAGTCTCCCACTGGGTTGCCAAGGTTACCGAATTGTAGCGTCTCTGGAGAGTACTCACGTGAATTCCGTGAGTTCTCTCCCCCACCATCTCTTTTTTCACAGTCTCAGTTTAGTAGCACCACACATTCAGTAGGTCCTAATCTCCTGTTAATTCACCCCACCACCCCACCACCCCCACCCCAGAGTTAGGTTTTTCTGCTAGGCTCAGGGCTGGTGCAGACCTGAGGTTGCCCTGTGTGGGGAGCAATCCGGACTGGACTGAGTTACTGGAATTAAGACTTATTCTATGCATCTGCTCTCCCACAATATGGCGCTGGGAGAGGAGAAAACAGCTTCTACGCAGCTGCCTCCAGTTCAGCCAATAAACTGTAGGACTTGCTCCTGATTGGAGGAGAGCAGCGTACTCGGCGTGTGGGCAGCCGAGTTAGGATTGGCGGAGGAGGACTATAAAGGAGGAGAGAGACGGCATGCACCAGGAACATCTATGGGGAACATCTAAGGGGAACATCTGAAGGAACGCCTGTGCAGCCCCCAGAAAGCCGGCCGGCGGTGTGCCGCTCCCCTGCGGAAGTGGGGAAAGCGGCCAGGGGGAACCGCCCTTCCACGGAGGTGGAAGGGATAGTAGCCAACCCGGGAAGAACCAGCAGCAAACCCGGGGAGGGCCGAGCAGACGAAAGAACAGCGCAGGGTCCTGTGTCGTTCCTCCACGAAGAGGGGGAGCGACATAATGGTGCCGTGACTCGGATAGGAAACCTAGGACGGATATGAAACTTAGGAGGGAAGAAACGGGAAGAACTGGGAAATTACCGGAGAGAGAGACTAGCAAACAGCCTAGGGAAAAGCCGGACGAAAAGGGTGCCGGAAGAAGCTATTGAAAGCCTAGGCATAGACTCAGATACGGACTACGGACTACGGGGGGAAGCTGGGAGAAATCTCTAAGGTCGAAAGCGAAAGTGAAAGCTAGAACAAACAGACTCGGACGCGGACTGTGGGGAGAGGCCAGGAGAAATGAGGGAGGAATATCGTTGGAGGAAAGTTTGGGGAAACATACCGGGTAGAGAAAAATGTTAGGGAAATTGAAGCCGCGGGGGGCAGGCCAAGGCGGAAACGGAAGCCACTTTGGGATTCTCAAGTTAGCCCGGGAATAGGGGGCGAAAAGTTGAAACCAGAAGCTGAAACGTAAGCCAGATTGGGATCCGTCTGATTAGCCCGGGGAGCAAAGGACGGGAAGCCAAATCGTGGGGCGGAGACGTATGCTGGGTTGAATTCGCCAGGCTAGCCCGGGGAACTTAGATTGAATGCTAGTGGCGGACACGTAAGCTACGCTGTGTTACTCGCGAAAGCCGCCGCGTGCAGAGAGAGCATGGGGCGTGAATAGATAGGGAACGGGGCTGGTGCGAGGCCGTGGTGCAGACGCGAAGGGCGTGGAGACCGCGGAGCGCGCGAAGCCAAGCCGCGCAAAGCCGGGAAGCTGCGCAGATGAGAGAGGCGCGGGCTGAAGCGGCTCAGCCGGGAAGCCGCCGAGAAGTAGCCTCGGGGCGGGCAGCGGGAAGCTGCGGGGATAAGAGAAACAGAAGATAGAAGTAAAATGGGAGAAATAGGAATGCCCGGAGATAGAGAAGTAGAGAAATAGAAAGGCCTCCCTACAACACTGCAATGTGAGAGCTTGGATTCGGTCTGCCTGATTAAGTGAGGCGATGAGCACCTGGGCGGCTAGCAGCTTATGCGCCGCAGGTCACCGAAGACAGGCACGAATTAACATCAGTAAGGCCTCCCCCACAATACGGCAATGAGAAGGCTTGGATTCGGTTTGCCTGATTGTTAGGGCTTGTAAGCCCCTGCAGGCAGAGCAGAGCATGCGCTGCGGGGCACCGAACACAGGCACGCATCAGCGCCTAAAAACCTCCTCACAACATGGCGAAGAGAGGACCCGGATTCGGTTTGCCTGATTGATAGGACTTGTAAGAGCCTGTGGCAACTCTAGCAAGTAGAGCAGAGTGTGTGCCGTGGGACACCGAAGACAGGCGCGTATCAATGCCAAAAATAAAAAGAAAGGGGGATCTGTGGGGAGCAATCCGGACTGGACTGAGT